CTGCTCTGTGCTACCCAGAAATCTTCTCTGGTGTTAATGAGTAGATGATATACATGATATACCTGCCCAATTCGCACAGCAGCTCCTCTCCCCATGAACAGGCTGGTGCCAATTCTTTTTACAACTGGAGGAAGGCAGTAGTTCTTGCTTCTCTCCACGTTGTTGTTTTGGGTTACACTAGAAGAGCCCTGGTCAGCTGCTCAGCTCAGGGTCAGCTCAAGCTCCTGCTGTGGTCCATTCAATTGTTTTTCATGATTTCTCTGTGAAGTGTCCTGGTCCTGATTTGATACTAAAGGGAACGTGAGCCCTTAGAGCACTCAAAGCAGGGAGAGACCAAAGGCGTTGGTGCACATCTGCCTAGGTATAGAGCAACTGTTATTTAACTCCACAGAGTTGTTTGGTGTGCTGAGCTCACTCAACCCTTTCCGACTCTGGGGTTACTGCTTGCTGAGAGCCCACAGTTGGGAACGAGGATATTGCTGCACTGAGAAGTGAGCTATAATCACAGTGCTGATTTCTCACCTTGTCAGGAAGCAAAGGGGCAACCGTAGACAGACCAGCACTGATACACTGTCCTTCCCTGCAATCCATCTCTGACACTGATAGCTGGGATGAGTGCTCTGGTGCGAGGTGAAGGCATTCTGCAGCAGGCAGGTATGAGTCATCTCACCTGCTGAAACTTCTTCCCAGCATCGAGTCACGCAAGCCCCCAGACAGGAAGGTCTAGGTCCCCATAAATTCTGGGCATTATTATGTCAATACTAAAAATCTGGCAGGTGGAACTCATGCTGGCATCTCATTTTTAACTGCTCTGAACTGTCCTGGTATTCTCGGCACCAAGGCTATGTGTTTTTTTTTTAATAGGGCTTTCATAAACCTTGTTCCAGGAATGAAAACAGCTGCCAGCGCATGCAGCACCCCAGGACAGACCCCCGCCTTCTTCCAGAGCACACGAATGGAGCACGGCTCTCCAGCTGCTTTGTGTGCTTGATGTGAAGCTGTGATGTTTGCGAGGGACTGAAGCATGAACTGCCCCGCTAATGCTAGCAGGTGTGAGTAACAAAGGAGGAGGAAAAGGCTTGATAATCAAAGAAAAAGAAAATAGGAAAAAGATAAACCCTCCTGGGCCAGCAGCATGAGAAAATATTAATGGTTAACTCTCTCTCATTGTGGAGTAGGAGGAAAAAATGCAATTGCAAAGGGAAA